AAAAAGGGTAATGCCCACGTTTGGGGCCAAATGATTCGACGGATTAGGATACCTCAGGGACCATAGACAGAAGCGTGGGCCAGAGTCAACGACAGATGAACTCAAACCGAGAGTCAGTTCAGTTAACTATTTGTGTCTGAGCATAAATATGGGAGACATCAGCAATTTTGTTGGTGTTTAATGCTATCAGAACGAATGTGATTCTTCACAAAAATGTGGACTGCGACAAGGATCTAGGCATAGAATCTTGGAGGACATCAATTTGCAGAGGACCCAGCAAAGACAAAGAAGGGATGAAAGAACGCACACGAGACCCGGACGGGAGGATCACAGATCTCCAGAGGATAAAGGGGGAATGGGCAACAATTGGAAACAGCAGAGGGATGGAAAAAACCAAAAGGTGAGAACTGGATCTAGCCCAGAGGAGGTGTTTCATGGGAGCAAGGGTTGAAGCGGGGCTGCAACTGATGAAGAAGTAAAGGTCAGGTAAGGAAGTAGAAATGCACGTGGAGTGTGAACTAAGCTTTCAAGAAACTTGGGTGAAAGCAGGAGAGAGTGGGAGCTAAAAGGTCACTGGACATTCTCTCTGGGTTTGTTTTTTTTCCAGGATAGGGCACCTGAGTTTGTTGACAGGGGAAGGGATGAAGCGTGATGGGGAACAGTACTGAAAGATACATGAGAGAAAATGTTTGAAGGCATTTAAATGCAAAGTTATAAAGTCCAGGAAAGTTACTATACAGTATAACGATAGCCACTGTAGTCCTGTCCCAGCTTCTTATCTATAACGCCGATAGCTATTGTCTGGTGGCTAAAATGCTGACATCTGTATGAACCAATTATGAGTTGATTCACCCAGAAGTAGTATTCTTTCATCAAATTTCCCACATTCTCAGAGAGCTCTCTACCTAAATTTAGGGGAAAGGTTGGCTTATGCTGCAGAAGGCGTAGCCCTTGAGGAACCAGGAAGGAGATTCTGGAACTAGCGGGACTCTGGAAGGAGCACCCTATTCCCAGTCTTCCTTGCCCAAGTACTTATCAGAGTACCTATTCCCATCCCCAGCCCTCACTAACTAAAACTTCACTTTCTCTCCTTGCCTCAAGTCTCCAAAATAATTTGGAGCAGGGTGCCTGGAGCTGGCAAACTGATGCCAAATCCTCAAAATCCAAAACACGAGTTTGGAATAAAGCAGCCATTAAAAAGAGGCTTGGAGTTCTGCAAAACTCACAGAAATCACTAGAAAGATGAAGCTCCCCAGTCAAAATCACAAAGCTATGGAAATGTGCTCTTTGGGGTATGTCCTCTGTCCCACCCCTGGCCCAGGTAAAGAAGGCTCACCTTTATCCTGACCCACACCGAGGGGGATCCCATTGTAACTTGCCCCAAGGATATGAGATTATAGTTCGGTTTAATGTTTATGCTAATTCTGTGGGAAGAGGGGGGAGGGGAGAGAGCAAAGCTTGACCTCCTTTAAGAAAACCCTACAAATGAAAACGAGGGCGGGAGGGTGGCAACAGAGGGTCTCGGTCCAAGAACGGGGTTGGGGTTCGGTGCGCTCTGGAGACTTCCCACGCTAACACGCAGAGAAGGGAAGGAACGAGAGCAGGCTGTCTCAACGAGGAGCTAGAAGAGGCGACACGATGCCGGCCTGCATCCCCACGTCCACAGGGCCAGCTTCTCGGTTGGGGGCGGGGTGGGCGGCGGGGGTCCCCCTTTCAGCTCCGTGTACTCACGGCCCGACCACGACCCTCCACAACGACGGCGGCGCGCTAACCAGCACTGGGAATTAGCAACCAGAAGGCGGCGAGGCGCGGCGGGCGGGGAACTCGGAGACCAGGGTCCCGACTCGGCCACAGCGCGTTTCTCCGTCCCCCTCCCTCGTCCGCCACGGCTCCCGAGACAAGCGCTCGAAGCTCCGGACCCGGGGCACGGGGGCCCGGTCTCGGGGGAAAGCCCGCGCAGGCCGAGGCCCCCGCTCCCCGAGCCCGCGACCCACCTGCCGGGTGCGGCTGTCCCGCTCGGGCAGGGCTCCGGCGGCGAGCAGTGTCGGCGGACTCCGGCCACTGGAGCTCGCCCAGGGAACGGAGCGCCTGGGGCCAGACGGCAGCGACCCCCTGACTTCCGCTTCCGGCGGCTAAGTGTCGCGATATCTAGCGCCCGCGCGGAGCCGTGCGCCGCGTCTCCGTAGCCCCGTAGGTTACGCGCTGGGCTCCTCAGCGCGGGGTCGGCTGTTCAAGCCCACCTGCAGCTCTCCGGGACGAGGGTGAGGTTGTGGGCGCCGGTTACCTTAGAGATGCGCAGTCTCGGAACCCCAAAGAGGTGGCTCCCCTTCGAGCTGGTCGCTACTCTGTCGGATGCTGTCGACGCTTTGCTCGCTGTCACCATCCAGTGAAACACTTGTGAACGCGCTGCCATGACCTCTAGCGACCCTGCCCTGTAAGGTAGATCTGCCCCTCTGAGTTGTCAAGGCTGTTACACTTTCTAGAGGTAGGAAAGCTTTCTGGTGCTTTCGAACCGCCATCCTTGCGGTTAGCAGCGCCACTCGTAACCACTGCCACCAGAGCTCAAAATCCATTCCGTGGCAAGCAATGTAGTGAACTGGGCAGCATAAGCAGAGGAAGGAGACAGCGTATAAAATGGCTTTAGAACAGCAGGAAATGTGCGAGTGAATAATTTTCATTGTTAGCACATTGCTTCATCAAACATACAAAAACCAAACTCACCGCGACCCTGTAGGACAGGAGTAGAAAGCCCTGTCCCGCAAGCAGCTGGGGGGTTCAACTGATGACCTTGCAGCTAGCCACCAGGTAGCCTCCTCGTGCGTGCATTGTCTCATAAGGGAACCCTAAAAAGCACCCCACTGCTGTTGAGCGAATTCCAACTCTTAGCAGCTCTTTAGGACAGAGTAGAACTGCTCCATGGGGTTTCTGAGACCATACATTTTTAGGGAAGCAGACAGACTACATCGTTCTTGTTCGGCGTGGCTGGTAGGTTGGGGAACCCACTGCACCACCAAGATTCTGCACAGCGAGAGAACCTGGAAGTGGGAGTAGGGATGCAAGAAAGCAGGGACACAGGATGGGATTGGGAGGTCTGATCGGAGATCAGTCTAGAACCACTTTATCACAAGGTGTTATATTCAATCTGTGTGAGGAACTTGGCAGGCAAAACACTACTTTGTACCTTGTTCTTAGGAATTGAATCTAAACCAGTACGTTCTATTAGCTGATGTGTTTGCTTGTCATAGAGACAATCACGATTGTGAAAGGTAACACAAAGCCTGACTTCTGGGCAACACCACCAGTGACTTTGTCATCCTGGGAGCTGGTCCGCAACAGGATTTCTCAGAAGGGAAAATCCTTTACAATTTTCCTTCTGTTCAAGAGGGTAGAAATGAAGCCAGCCTATACTTGTATAATCTTTACTCAACTGTGTTTAAATTCTATACCATTGGCTAAATTAATGACACTCTCAAGAGAACTATCTTGTGGCTCAGGGAGATGATTGATAATGTTCTCTAACAAAATGACAATGATTTCTCTAAGGTGCATCAGAGACATGTATAAACCATAGATATATAAATGAATCTTGGGCTTGCACGAAATCCTAGCCCAATCTAAGAACAATTAATTCTTATGACATGGCCCTGCTTAAGACTTGCCCTCATGAAGTGAGATCACTGAAGATATGGGTGCTAGCAAAGTGTGGTGAAGAAACTAGATGGTGCCCAACTGTCAGAAAGAATAGTGCCTGGGGTCTTAAAGATGTATCTTCAAACAAGCAGCCATCTAAGTGAGGTGTCAACTAAGTCCACACCAGCCTATGTGATCCAAGGATTGTAAATAATAAAATCTAAATTCAAAGGAGGGTGTGGTATTGTGAACATTCAGTATGCAGAAGGCTACAGATAACAGTGGAAGCCCCAAACCCATTTTCAAGATCCACACGTATATTAAGCCTTTGATGAATCCCATCTGAACTAAGTGAATAGTGTGAATAGCCTTGTCATCAGACAGAGTATTGTAGAAACAAATGTAGTAGAAATACTTAGTTTAAAATATAACATCTTATTTAATCTCCTTTTTGACCCATTTAAAAGTTGTAGCAGTTTGAAAAAAAAAGTAGAGCTAATACAAGTAGATTAAGCCTCCCATAAATCCCTTCTGAACATAGATAAACTAGGGATGTGTTTAGCCTTGCTTTCATGCAAAGTGCATTGGAAAGTGGGTTATGGAAGATGTGATTAGGTTAAAATTTAACTTTTCATCATTTGATCTCCCTTTTCACCCATTTTAGAGTGGTTCTGGTTTTTAATATTTTGTGCTGTCTTTTCTATTGTGGTTTTACTCTATTTTATTTTGTTAGTGTTTGTGTGTTTCTTGGTCAAGAAATCCAGGATGGGTGACTCTATAGAGACAGTAATTGGATTAGTTGGTTTGGGGGGTAGGGTGGGGGGCTAGGGGAAAATGGGGGAGCTAATAACAAGGAGTAGGGGAAAGAAGAAAATGTTCTAAAATTGATTTTAGTAATAATTATACATGTCTTCTTGATATAGTTGAATTATTGAATGTATGATATGTGAATTATGTCTCAGTAAAACTTTTTGTTTTGTTTTGTTTTTTCCAAATCCAGGATTGTTGACCCTAAGGGACAGCAAGTAGAATACGGGTTTCGGAGAGTACAGTGGTGGTGTGCGGGTAAAAGGGAGACGGTGTCAAGGAGTCCAGGTAGAAAAGAAAGTCTGCAAACTGTGGTAACAATTGTACAATTCTACTTGACGTGATTGAACTATGGAATGACATGAACAAAGACAAAGAAAAGAAAACCCCGTTCTTGTTTAAAGAGTGCAAAAATGAACTACTTGGTTTATTTTGAATATTCTTTCTCTTAATAGGCAAGTAACTCTCATTTCTGGGGCAAAGCAGATATAGAAGGGAGTTTGTAATTACCAGGCTATGCCCAATGCAAACCTGAATTTCTGTCCTCTTCCCGACAGTTTGGAATGGGCTTTATGGACGTTGGAATATTCTTCCATCACCAGCTCACATTGTTCAAGCCACCTTCCCTTCTTCTCCCGCCCCTATGGACCAGCCATGTGGATGGAGTTCAACACCTGAGTTAAAGACTAAACGAACATTGAAAGGGACAGCCTTCCACTCACTCACTCTGCCCTAGGCAGATCTCATCATGCTTCTCTGTCCTGTGTTTTTAATCCTCAAAAATGGGAATAACCATCCTTGCTACCTCACTGCTTCATAAAGTTATTATGGGAATCATTTATTATATTTGTAAAATGCTTTGGGCTTAAGTGAAGAAAGACTTCATAAGAATGCACATAATAATTAGAGCTCTTATAAATTGCATCAATGTGTAATCTGCAAGAAAACATTTCAAGTTATATGACTCATCAGGTTAGATTCACATCAGTACTTCTGGCCCTTAATGACTTGGAGTTGTTTTGATCTGAGATTACAAAACCCTCATCCTGCTCTCTCCTTCTCTGTCTTGCTCACACTAAAGCATCCTTTGTGCAAGGACTTTCTTCAGCAGAGTAGGAGATGCTAACCAACGCTAACTGCTAGTCGTTTGCTGCCCAGGAGTTACTATGTATCATAGAAGGTGGCTACTGTCAGTGAAGAAATTAGAGAAGGAGGGATACATCATTTTGGGAATGAAAAAGCTGTGAATTACACATTTTGATGCGTACAAGGGGAGTTGGAATGGAGACCCAAAGCCCATCTGTAGACAATTGGA